CTCCTAAAATAATTTTATATACCAAAACAATCCACTTCAAAATTTAGAAACACTATTATAATGTATTTAATTAATACACATTTCATGCAAGCCAGATAAAATTTCCATTAGAAAAAAACTGTAGAAATTCTTATTCTCTTTCAGAAGAATGGCTAAAAATTTTCACAAAAAATTAAAATTCTGTAATGTCAAAATTACATAACAGATGAAAATTGAATTTATGAATGACTTTCAATAATATTTATTTGTATTTTTAGATTTGATGAATTGTTGAGCAAAGTTGGCCCACTAATTACATATAAAAATACAACTTATAGAAAAAGCATACCACCTGCTGAACAACTTGCACTGACATTAAGGTTTGTATCATTTAGGAGGCTTTACAATCAAGTTTTAATATCTATATAATTCCAAAACAAAGTATTTGTATATGTTATATTTATTTTAGCAAAATAAATTGTAACATATTTCTATAACTATAATTCTTATTTAACATGCTTAAAAAATAAGTCAGGTGGATTAGATGTTACAAATAATACTGGTTAGTGCAATTTTTCTATATTACATTGCAAATAATTACAATTGCACTAACCAGTTAATCTGAAAAATCTTAATCTTTAAGAATCTAGATAAGGTTGCCTGTAAGGAAAATATTTCAGATTTTCCTTATAGACATTATCATCTTAAATTCTTCTGGTTGATTGAACTGCATATTAATTTTAAATAGTAGTTTACTTTTTGTAACTTTTTATTAATTCAATTTTTTCTTGGTTAACAAAACAGATTTCTTGCACATGGAGGAGAACAACAAATATGTGCATTAAATTATCGTATTGGTGTTTCAACAACACATATTATAGTGAAACGAGTATGTGATGCAATATGGACTGTGCTTTCTAGTGAATATTTGAAGGTAAACATTATACTTTTCATGAATTTTTAAAGAATATATCATTTCAAATTTAACAATGTTATTATTTCAGATTCCAGATAAAGAAAATTTTATTGAAATATCTTTCTGGCAGCATCACTAAAGATGCTCCTTAATCTCCGAAGCATTTCTCGCTCGGAAGGAGTGAATTTCTTCAATTCGGATTCCCAAGTTTCTTCTAGTGTAGAGGGGCTAAAATGGGCTTTTTTCTTGTTCTTTTCTCGATTATCGTCCTTGGCGACGTTCTTCTTCTTTAGAGAACAGAAGCAGAATTTATTGAAATAAGCGAAAAATTTAATATGTATTCCAACTTCCCCCAATGCTTAGGAGCAATAGACGGTAAACATGTTGTTATTCAGCAACCAAAACATTCTGGTACCATCTATCATAATTACAAGGGTACAAATAGCATCATTTTAATGGCTGCGTGTGATGCTGAATACAGATTTACGATTGTTGACATAGGTGCACCCAGTATCTGTAGTGATGAAGGGGTATTTAATAATTCTATATTTGGAAAATTAATTGAACAAAACAAAGTTGATTTTCCTGCAGATGAGAAATTGGCAGTGGTGATTAAGGACCAATCATTTCAGAAGATATTTCAATTTTTTGCTTTGGTTCAATCGGCCTGCATCGGACTTTCGGGGATTCTTCTGAAAATTTTGAAGACATTATCGAAGAATGTACACTAAAAGACATTTGTGTCCAAATTTTGGTAACAATAGGATTTTTTTTTTTTTTTTCATTGAATGATCATCATTTCCCCTTGTGGGGATCAGTCATCCTTGTCCCGCCATAGGCACCACAAGGAGAACGTTGCTTTATTAAGTTAAACCAGTATAAATTCTTATTTACAATAAACAAACTACAGTAAAATTAAATTAACATTAAAACAAAATGACGCGTTCTTGTCACGCTTGTACAGTAAAGCCGGTGGATTGCCGGCTGGTAGGTGGAGAGATGACTTTTCTCTCCACCTTTACATAAGAACCCTTCTCNTGTCTAAAGAACCCGAAAATTTTGATGAAGCTCTAAGGGCAGCTATTAGTGAAGAGACAATAGAATCTCTTGTAGCACCGCAACGCGGAATTTTAAGAGCCGTTACGGAAGTTGTTAATCCGGAAAGGGAGAAACAGGATAATTGGAAAACTCTAGAAAACGCATTGGAAAAGTTAACCTTACAAGTAGCGGATATTAAGAAACAACTACCCCAAGCCCAAGCGAGAGATCCGGAGAATAGACGAGATAGAATACCGAATATTAATTTTCGACGCGGCTATAGGAATACACAAGGTTTAAGGAATAGACGCAAGGTTTTGTCAATCCGAATTATCGTTTCCAACCTAAGCCTAATATACGTAGAGAGGAGCGACAGAACCCTATGAAAAATCGCTCACCTAACAGACCCGATGTACGGAACAATAAAGATAGCGATAGAAACCAAGTCAAATTCAGGCAGCAGCAGCCTGATGGCCGGTATAGAGGAAATATACGAAGTGTAGGAGGACGGCGACGTTATCAACGTACATATAGGCAAAATACGCCATATAGAAAAGAGCAAGGTAGCTTAAACTTACATAAAGGAACAAAAACGCGTTTGGAGAAAAAGAAAAATGAAATTAGGAAAGTGCCTAAAGAAGCAACTTTTAAATGTCTCATAGAAGGAGTTCCTGCAATTATGCAAATCGATACAGGCGCAAAGGTATCTCTTTTACCCAAGAGTTCGTTAAAAAAATAGAAAGTAAAGTGGAGATAGAACATAACAACGAAACGGATCTTAGAAGTGCTACGGGACATCGTATTTATACGTATGGAGTCTTAAGTCCCACATTTCAAATTGGCAACTTACGTTTCGTATTTGCGTGTTGTATAGTAAATACTGATGTCACATATCCGTGTGATGGAAGAATTGGACGAGATATGATGTTAGAAAAAGGATTTAATATTGACTTTAAAGGGGGGTATTTAACTATCCCACCGCGAACTAGTATTCCCTTCATCGATCCCTCCAAATATATATGCAGCCAAAATATGCCTATAAAAGAACTAGAGCATGAAATGCGACCCTCTAAAAAGAGAGGAAAAGACGAAATAACAGAAGTTTCAGAAAAACGTATAAGAGTAGAACCAGACATGGAAAAGGAAGATACAATTTTGGAAACATGTTATCTTCCTCCTTTAGCTGAAAGCATGATAACCGCTACGATTAAAAGTATTAAGCGTAACAGCGGCATAGGTGTTATAGAACCTATTACCTTCCCACAGAAAGGAGTTTATGGGGCTAACGTTTTAGTTTCACCCAATAAGAAGGGACAAGTGCCTGTCCGACTCTGTAACACTACTCGAAAAACGATTAGACTAGATAAAGGTACTAAAGTAGGAACGTTCTTAAAAGCAATTGAGGATGAACAGATAATGCAAAAAAAGGAAGGGGCTACAGCAAAACTATCTAAGGCTGAATTTGGTCAACTGTTTGAATGGAATGGAATAGGAAAGAAAGAGAAGAAAGAGCTATTAGATTTATTATATAAATACAAACACATTTTTGCGTTGAATGATTATGATTTGGGATATTGC